CTTCAACACGATCTCAAAAAGGTCATTGATGTGTCCACGCTAGAAGCAACACAGCAAATGACATAGCCGAAACTCTCATTAGGCCTCGAGATGCATTTCCCGCCAACTTACTTTGATATCTCATTGCATCTCGCTCATTCATCTTGTTGACTAAATTAGAGCCCTTGGCCCAATGTGCCTGCATCAGATGTTTCCTTTTGAAAGATTGATGAAAGTTTTCAGGAGGTATGTTAGGAACAGATTCAGGCCAGAAGAGGGCATGGTTGAAGGATGGTCAACGGAGGAGGCCATTGAGTTACGCACATATTATCCCGAACATCAAAAGGGTCAAAGTTCTAGAATCTCGTCATGAGGGAAGACTACGTGGCAAAGGAACGATCAAAGAAATCACATTACGATGAGCGACCTGTTTCTTTCAGACAGTACGCTTTCGCTTCTCCGACAAGCCGAGGGTGTGATGCCATACATTGACGAGCACACAGTAATCGCTGCAAACTCAGATCCGAGTAGGTCACGAGCTTGGCTGGATAAAAACATAAGGAGCAATTTATCAATTTGTTTGCGACGTTGTTTGCTTGGAATAAAGTTAGGTAATCAACCGGATTCCTTAGCCAAGGACCTTCGACTACATATCTTAAGTACCAAGCGTATGAGATCAATGGATTCACATTTTACACAAAAAAGCAAGATTGAAAGAGCACATACCAAAATTGTGGTGTTCGTTTTGATGCTCACGACGAAAACAGCAACGTGCAGGCGACATACTATGGTTTCATAGAGAAGATATGGAAGCTAGCCTACGGTCCGTTCAAGGCAGCTTTTTTCGCTGTCAATGGGTCCAACTTGAGGAAATCAACACTGACAGCGAAGGGTTCACTACCGTTGATCTCACTAAGACCGCATATAGAGACAACCTTTACGGTCCAAGATGAAATTCACCCTCTTTTGTTTTATTTGGCACAAAGAAAAATATAATAAATAAAAAATGATCAGAAAAACCTAAGATCCTGTGTGGGGTCTTAATTTGGGTGTACATGCTTGCCAAAAAAATTCAAGCCATTTCGACAAAGGCGGAGTATACATGCTTCACAAAGGTACATTTGTCTTTTCATCGAACCATAACTATACACATAGGTTATCAAGATCTATGTGGTTTATAGGCATTCCAGTGTCGTATTGGTCTCAAAATTATTCTCAGGCTTGCACGTGCCACGTGTGAAGGAAACACCAAGTTTGGGATTTTTCGGAGATGGTTTGCTACTTTCTGAGGTTTAATTGAATTTCCGAGCGACGACACCTATTAATTATAGGTTGAACTGAGTCTACCCACGAAAAGATCTGGAATGGTGCCAAACTTTTACACAGGCTCTAATGTGCCCTAGGGATAAGAATTTTGTGGAGATGATAAAAAAATCTATTGGGTCCAAGATGAAATTCACCCTCTTTTGTCTCATTCGGCATAGAGAAAAATATAATAAATAAAAAAATGATCAGAAAAACCTCAGATCCTGTGTGGGTCTTAATTTGGGTGTACATGCTTGTCAAAAAAATTTAAGCCATTTTAAAATAGGTGGAGTATACATGCTTCACAGAGGTACATATGCCCTTTCATCGAACCATGACTATATACATAGGTAATCAAGGTTTCTGTGGTTCATAAGCATTTCTGTGTTGTATTGGTCTTAAACTTTTTCTTAGGCTTGCACGTGTCATGTGCGAAGAAAACACCTAGTTTGGGATTTTTTGGAGATGGTTTGCTAATTTCTGAGGTTTAATTGAATTTCCGCGCGACGACACCGATTAATTATAGGTTGAACTAAGTCTACCCACGAAAAGATCCGAAATGGTGCCAAACTTTTATATAGGCTCTAATGTGCCCTAGGGATAAGAATTTTGTGGAGGTGGATGAAAAAATCTATTGGGTCCAAGATGAAATTCACCCTCTTTTGTCTCATTCGACACAGAGAAAAATATAATAAATAAAAAAATGATCAGAAAAATCTCAGATCCTGTGTGGGGTCTTAATTTGGGTGTACATGCTTGTCAAAAAAATTCAAGCCATTTTGAAATAGACGGAGTATACATGCTTCACAGAGGTACATATGCCCTTTCATTGAACCATGACTATATACATAGGTTATCAACGTTTCTATGGTTCATACGCATTCCGGTGTTGTATTGGTCTCAAACTTTTTCTTAGGCTTGCACGTGCCATGTGCAAAGAAAACACCTAGTTTGGGATTTTTCGGAGATGGTTTGCTACTTTACTGAAGTTTAATTGAATTTCCGCCATGACGACACCGATTAATTATAGGTTGATTTGAGTCTACCCACGAAAAGATCCGAAATGGTGCCAAACTTTTACATAGGCTCTAATGTGCCCTAGGGATAAGAATTTTATGAAGATGGATAAAAAATCTATTGGGTCCAAGATGAAATTCACCCTCTTTTGTCTCATTCCGCACACAGAAAAATATAATAAATAAATAAATGATTAGAAAAACCTAAGATCCTATGTGGGATCTTAATTTGGGTGTACAAGCTTCCCAAAAACATTTCAAGTCATTTCGACATAGGAATACATATGCTTCTATTTATTCAGTATATAAAAGAATTTTTTTAATATATATAAACATCACTGTCGGTTTCAAAAAACCGACAGTGATGAGAAGAAACCGGCAGTGATGTTGGTTATCACTGTCGGTTTATTTTGAAAACCGACGGTGATATATAAAAAATTAAAAAAAATTGTGCCAACCCTTAGGATTGATGCATGCATGGTCCGGTGGATATGGCATTTTTTTTTAAAAAAAATCAACTTTAAACTTGATATATTTTGGTTACCAAGTATTTTTGTATGGGGCCTGATACACTTGATTTTGTATTTAATATGACTTGTATGTGTGATAATAATAGCATTTGAGTATGTGTTACCGTACATACGTACGTGATTACGTATTTACGTGTACGTAGCATATGTGTGTATCATGTGTACACGTGTTAGCGAGTGGCCGGTAATGTGAGTACGCGTACGTGACTTACATATAGGTAGCGTGTGTATACGTGTTAGTACGTGGCTGGCAATGCGAATAGCTATATGGACAATTTCACAAAACTGAATTTATTTGAGAAAAAAAAAACAAATGTCAACCAGATCAGTAGATCACACCCTGCCCGAGGGGACGATCGAGCGTGCATTCAGCACTGCACCCGACGCGAGTCCGTCCGGCCGTTCGACCGCTTCCGTGCGCGATCCGTCGGAATCCCGTGATTAGGGGAATCGAGACGAGATCTTTTCTCCCGCGATTAGGGAATCCGCAGTGATTACTTTCTTTTTCCTGAATTTATTAAGTAATTTATAAAATATAAAAAATCAATGGCTCAGATTGATTTGAAATATTACCTGCTTGACGGTAAAGTTTGTACCTTAATTAGCATTGCCCCTAATGCACATCTTTCTGTTTCAGGTTTAGTTCGTAATTGATGTCCCATGCGAAGCACGGGGGTACCAGCTAGTGTTACATATTCCAGTTTCTTACCCTGGTCATCATGGAAAACTGACCAGTTCCTTTTTGTCTCTTTTGGATAATGAGTATTTCCTCTCTGAACTTTTAGTCGAGGAGAGATGTTACATGGTATCATTTTACTATGTTTGATAATGAACAGTTTCTCTAAAATTTTCAAGTGAGCTGACAGAGCTTCCTACGGTCAGTGGTCCCTAAAACTTCCACTATTTTTTACTGAGGGTTCCACAAAGAGCATCAACCCGTATAGTTTTATTTAGGGGGCCACGACGAAATATCGCGCAGTGGTGGTTGACATAACCCTAACGCCAGTGAAAATATTCCTATTTCTATTAGTGGTTGACATAAGGAACTGCTAGAAGAAATAAGAGTATTTTCACTAGCCATAGGCATATGTCAACTGCCACTATATATAACTACATTTGTATCTGTCCGCTATCAATCGTCAGTGAAAACAATTCGGAAAAAAATACAGTCGCGTGTGGGTCGTTCAAAGCACCTCGCTCACTCGCTCTCCTTTTTACAGTGACTATCTCCTGGCATCCTTTTCATAAGAAAATCTCCTGGCATGCAGTAGCGTGAACTTCTTTTACTCTCGAGCACCGTGAGCACTCATTTCTCTCTATAACTTGTCTCCATTTCCCCTCCACAGTACACGAGACTACGGTAATGGCAACGCCGACCACGATCCATGGCAGCAAAAGCTAGACATAGTCTATATTTTCTAGCTGCATTGCTTTTACTATGTATCTAGACATAGTGTGTATAAGCTTATAGCAAAAGCCATGAATTAAGAAGCCAAAATGTCTTATAATTTGGAACAGATAGAGTATAAAATTAGATGAATTTAACTTAAGAGAAAGCTAAAATGATCTACAATTTAGAAACAGAAATATCAGAAAAAGGGACAAACAAATGCTGTGATAATTCTCTCCGCCAGCACTAGAGATTTTACTGGGCTTCCTCTTAATAACAAGAAACTTACCAAATGCCAAAGCATGTTCACGAAAAAAAAACTGGTTTTGGCATCTCATATCTTGCACTTTTTGAGACTTATATACAGTTTACTAGGTTGAGGCGATGAGCACGTTCTTGTTACTATGTACATGTTCAGTTGAACGACAAGCTCCCGTGCTGTAACTTTTAGCACGTACACAACACATAGGAGTACTTGTGCTTCACATATATATGGCCGCTACTAGAGCAACAGCTAAAGCCTACAGGATTACAGGTACAACCACCGGCTGGGCTTGAAGCAGCAGCTTTGCCTTCTCTTCTCATCAGTTGAGGTGCTCCTTTGGACCACCCTCTGACCATGCCCTTATTCTTCAAAACAAACCTTTTTTTCTCTCTCTCGAGGGCTTATTAGCACACCTGGTATACATACGTAATACGTACATGTACACTTTGTACACGCCGAACGGTGCCTCTCATATCTCAAAGCACCACTCGAAGTTGTTGCCCATCACGAGCAGACTAACCTGCGAACTGGCGGCGGGACGCCGAGCGGAGGAGCGGCGACGCCAGACTGCTGCTGGCCCTGGCCCCCGCCGGCGACGTGGCCGGGGACAGCGACGACGACGCGGCGTGCCAGCTGCTGCTTCTTCCTGCAGGGTCGACGCAGAAGAGCGCCGACGAAGCACACGGCTGGTGCTGGTCGCCGTACAGCAGGCGGCTTCCAACGGCGACCTGATGCCTCGCCTTCCTGTACTCCACGATGGCTCGGTACACCAACGGAATCAGGCCTTCCATTGCAATGGTGACCGAGAGCTTTGCTACCTTGCTGAGCTCGAGCTCGAGCAAGAAGTGAGCCTCACTCAAGGATGCTATAAAAGGGGGTGGTCCTCCATCTCTGGTCCCTCATGAGGCTAGCAGCTATCTGCTGCTTTTCACCTACAAATGCAAGACGTATACGTCTCACCATATCCACTTTGTTGGATAGATTTTTCAAGTGGCATCCGGTGAATGTGAATCCTTCCATCCCCCAGCCGATGCTTATCCGCAGACCGCAGTTGTACCTGCAACTGCTGTATCCTCTTCCTGTCACTGCATCATTGATGGTCAAGACTTAGTCTCTGGTGTCTCATTCTTGCTCTGTACACAGGGTGATCAAATCACAGTGATAATTATTGTAGAGGGAGATGTGATGTGAAGGAGGTGTGAGCTTAAATCTTTGAATCATTTGCTGGTGGCGGGTAACTTTCACTACTGGCAACAATGGGGCGGGGAATATTAGATCAGATAAGTTCGGTCGATGGATGGCCGATATGGATCTTCTCGTTCAAGATGAATATCAGATAGCTTGTATGCTTGTAGATGTGAAGATTCAGAGCTATGTATTCTCCATTTCATCTGGTACATGTTTGATGTTTCTTCAAGCGGTTTGCAAAGGAAAGATTTTCTGAAGATTTCAGTAGACTGCACTCATGCAAGACCGTTTTCAGCTTTGATTGATGATACCATTACAAGCAGGGCCCAACACACCAGTATGTATGTAGGGAACTTTCACAAGATCGACATGTTGTGGGGAACCCGATCACAAGATTGATGGTACCATTAACAAACAACTTTACTTCAGTTGCTTTAGTTCACTCAATCGATGGAACGACATCGACGACTCTGAAACCAAGCACTTAGCAATTGGAATTTGGCGGCAATACACTTGGATGTCTGCACTCCATTATCGAAAAGACAAACCAAAGTTCCGGGCACTCACGCACGCTCCACCGATGTGCCCTCTTGATGTGCTCGTCTCACCAAAAAGCAGTAGCCAAGAAGCCAAATCTTGGCACATCAGTGCAAAGTATCTAACCCTGCATCTCTCTCTCTTTTGATCTCTTCTTTGATCATACTATGCTTTCTTCAGTGCAAACGAAATGAATAAGACTAGTTGGTACATGGTACCTTATTACACTTGACGAAATGAATAGCATGGAGTATGTGTGATATGTCCATGCAGCTCCATGTTCCCAGCACACCTGCTGTACGTAGTGACTAGTGACTGGCTACCTGTATAGCAACAGAATGTATCAAAGTATTGTTAAAACTTCAGTTCAGATGCTGGGTATACATCAAAAGGTCAGAATGTTCTGAATAGTGAGCTCTGGTTAGCTGATTGAACTATAATGAAGCCAAAAAGAAATGGCACCAGATGGACATTAAAGGGGGTTGCTTAAGTGCACAGCATTCCTTAGCTTGAATTTTTACAGGTCATCATATGCAGAGGAAGATAAGGAGAAAACAGTTTCAAAGCTTTGCCTTCGAGTTTCAGACGAACTTGTACTAGTCGATGGTCGTGGATGGTCAGTGGGTCGACAATTTGAGCTTGCAACTAACTTGTGCCTTCGGAATTACTTTCATAGGATGATTACGCTTCTCCTGTATGAAAACGTATCCCAAGAATACAGGTACTAGACAAAGTAACGACTAACGAGGAAGACACTCTCAGACAGTACACAGTAGTCACGAATGTTTTTTTTTTTTTGTCGAATCAGTTGTCGCAGAAATTGGCCAGCATCTTGTCTGTTTCTCTAGAGTAAAATAACATTATCAAAAATCAAAACACTAACTAGGATAACAAAATTTTATTTTACGAAAAGCTTTAAGAAAAAATGGAAAGTTTCAGCTAATTATTTTTCAGTTGTAGGCGGCATGTATATCGGCAACTAGTCACATATAGTAACTTCACGGATGTCGACACCTGCCAGCCGAATTTCTTGATAGTGCTAATAGTAATAGGGGTAGCCATGCATACGTCCATGAAACTGGGTGCATGTATATGAGCGTCAACTTCTATACTATGCATAAAAAATTTTATGTCAAATTTGTTAGGCAATGCAACTGGTGTACTAAGAATGGGGGCCTACTGCAAGGCAGTTCCCTCCTAGTTTTCTATTGTGGCTTTGACGTTTATGCTATCGTTGTTTTAAAGGGAAATAGTGATTGTCTTGTTTTTTAAAATTTATGATTTACCCATCTATTTTTAAATTGAATGAAGAGTTCGCCCATATTCCGCGATATTCTCTTTAACGGTGTTAACCTTTGGACGAAAAGACAAGTTTGTCCATGTGTTGGCCCTTTTGTTAGAGGTCGCTGTAATTTTATTTTACCCCTACGCCTAACAAATGATAATGGAGGGAGTATCTCATAAGAACTGGTCGCTAATTGTAGTGTTGTTCACACAAAGGTCAATCTATGGATTCACCTTACACATATATATATTGTCACTTGAGTATATAAAACTACATTCGTCTGAGGATAATAATACGCTACACCCGCAACCCGCTGGTGGGCTGACCCGCCAGCCGAAAGCCCATGTAGACCCCACGGCCATGGCTCCGGCCCATGGAGCAGCTGAACTAGCCGAAGCTAGCTCTGCCTAACATTGTAAGCACCTCTTCCTTCGTTTCTTCTTTCGCTTGCCTTGCTTGCTCACTGCCATTGTTGACCTTGACCATTGTGTAGACCCAGTGGACGGGGAGCTGAAAAAAAATTGCTATTAGTGACCTCTGCTGGAATATCTTCTGCAGCACTCCAAGCTACTCACATCAATCTAAAAAGTCACTAACTCGCAAGACGCACAACAGGTCATGAATGTAAGTTGGTAGCAAAAATATCTTCTTTCTTCTTCAAGGAAACAAGCATGCTTGCCTCTGTACAAAATTGTAAATTTCTTATTTTGACTTGAAGGAATAAGCTTACTATGATCAATATGGTAAGTTTTGCCGTCCATTAGTTTCATTCAATTATTCACAAATCTGATTTAGCAACAAGATTTAGTACTTAGGCCCAACACATAGTGGAATGTGTTTATCAACTACCGAAAAGCAACTATGTTAAAAGTGTTCTCTTACGCATATTTAATACGGCGCTTTGCAATATTTTAACCTTTATTTTTCATAATTATGTGACTATTATTGCACATATATATCAAGCACTAACCTTTTTTACATAGTATCATGTTGCAGGAATCAAACCAACACAAGTGAGTTTCTCACCAGCCTATAAATTCTTACCAACTTACAATGACTAATTTTTGCTCTTCTGATTTATTTTATCACAATTTTGATTTAACCTTCGCCTCTCAAGGAAGATTTAGAAAATTAACCTTCGTATACAACTTGTCACCAATGTGACCAAGAAAGTTGTCGCAACCTTTGCCACACTAAAAACGCCTGAGTGGCTATACATGCTAAGCCCTAACCGGCTAACTTAAAACACTTTTTTATTTATTTTTATTGAATCTCTTTTATCTTACTAACATGCAAGTCATCACCACTGTAACTATATCTCTTACCCTCTCAAGCTATCCCTCCCATAGAATATATTTGCCTTTATTATATGCATGCTATCACCTTCACAAGTCAAATCAGTTAGCACTCTCCATCCGTCAGCGGTTCTCATTAAGTGTCCAGCCTTCGTCGCATATATGTCCAATAGCTCTTAAGTTTGTATCAGTCAGTACTCTCCATCAGTCAGCGGTTCTCATAAAATATTCAAACTTCGTCAGATACCTCGGTGATACTCTATCAGTCAGTGGTTTTCCTCAGTCAGCGGCCTTCATTAGTCAGTTGCCTTCACCAGTCAGTGGACTTCATCATTCAATGGTTTTCAACAATCAGCGATCTTCATTAGTCAGTAGCCTCCACCAGTTAGTAGACTTCATCAATCGGTAGTTTTAATTAGTCAACGTCCTACGTTAGTCAATGGCTCTCACTAGTCGGCAGATCTCATCAGCCAGTGGTTTTCACATTGTATGGTCTTTCCACGACGCCAGATTTGCATATCACTGCCGGCCTCATCACTGCCGGATTTGTGAGAACCGGCAGTGATGTACCTTCACTGCCGGTTATGAGCTTGAAAATGAAAAAATGATTGGTGCTAGACTAAAACCGGCAGTGAAGGACCACATCACTGCCGGTTTAAGCCAAGAGCCGATAGTGATTGGACACTATCACTGTCGGTTCTAGCCAAGAACTAACGGTGATAAGCCTACAACACAAAAAGGCTGCAGACGTCCTCTCCTTCCTCCTCTCTTCCATCCCGAGAACAGAGGCGTGCGTTTGGACCCTTCCCTCCATTGTTGCGGCTGCTCTTCACCATGAAGCTAGTGCTTGATTTTGAAGAATGGCTTGATCTTTTTGCTTTAAGGTTAGTAACAAACATCCACTCCTTTGATTTTGTTGCTTAATTAGCTTCGTTTTGATGGCTACATTGCTTGATTCCCATTCTAGTTCTTTCTCCATTCTAGAGAACACTTTTTCAATTGGACATTTGTGCAAGGCTTAAATTGTGGTGAATCCATCATCCAAAAGGTTGGTGTCTATGAACACATTTAAATTCCTAGCTAATTATTCCAGGGTGGTCAAGATCATCATTGTTAGTATGTGATGCTATAATTAGTTCTTACAAGTAGAGTAAAATAGTTGTTCTTCAATATTGTGCAATAATTATTTTTTACTACGATTTTCAATTTACAGGGCCGAGGTTACCAATTTCAATTTTTCAATAATTAGTGTACAATAATGTTTTCCAAAAATGGTACTTTCGAGCTACAATTGTTGTTCATGAAGCTCAATTTCTTATTAATTCTTTGTAATTACTGTCTCAGTATTTTTTCTGCAGAGATGGATCGAGAGTGGATGCATCTGTCCCGAACGGACAAGTGCATGGCGTCAGCCAGTTTATCATCGATGCCAAAGCCCATCTTTGAAATGGGACCCTGTCTTCTACCCATTCAAAGATTGCAAGAA